AAGTGCTTCATAAAAAACTGGTCATCTTTGAGTCCATGTAGAGATGACCACATCTCTGGAGAAAAAAATGAACCTTCAAACATAAAATAAAATGGCATTATCCTGAAAGAGGGTCAGATGTCACTGGTTTGTTATCTATAACAAATAAGGAGCTGGTCCAAAAAATTTATAGGGCTCCAAAATCAGTCTCGTTTTTTCTGATATTAATATTCATGTTTACTGATGCAGGATAAATTTGCCTTCTCTTTTAGTTCAGCTTTTAAGTGGTGATATGACTGATCCATACAGAATTTTTAAGTTATCCATGTGCTAACACATTTATTATAAGGAAATAAAAGCACAGGCTGTGACTTATCATTGGGAGCTGTAGCCTACTCCTTGAACACAAGAGGACACTGACTTCAGCCAGCTCCCTGAAAGACTGGGATTAATTCTTACTAATTTTGACAAAATGCTTGTCAAAATTGCTTGTCAATGACAACTGAAGACCTGAAGAGCCTGCAATTCCACTGACTGCTGCTCTCCAAGTCTCCATCAGGAGCTGCATGTGCTGGGCATGGAGGTATCACAATGAGGTCATGCCCACTGATTATTGCTCTGAAAGTAGAACTGAATTTTTTTTCTGAATGCGACCTCATCTGCAACTCAAATCAAAGCATTTGACAAAGATCTGCTTCTTCAGTGTTCAAACTAATGCGAGCCTCTAAGCAACACATTACTGACAGATTGGCTCTTACCAGAGCCTCTTAAATATACATTTTTCCTCACTCAATTTTTGCAGCACAATGAAATCCATGAACAGGACACCATACTTTCAGTGTATTAAGAATATTCTTAGAGAAGTTTCCATACACCAAAGGCACCAGTGAAAGAAAATTTAAAGGAAAGAGGAACATGGGTAATAATGAGCAAGAGAGCTTTGAGGAGCAATAGTTATTCCTGCCTTTTTAACTGTATTTTTACTAAGTATCATACAGATTTAGAGACCAGAGGTCACAGCTTAACCTTCTAATTATATGAAAAACTCTAAAACTATTGATAAAAGAGGAAGCTATTGATAATAAATCTCGTTGCAAAATTCTTTCCTCTGTTTGTAAGGTTTCTTTGCTATGTACTAAAAAACTCACCTTCTGTACAGAAAGTTCATTTAATCTGTTTTTATAGATATATTTCTCAAATAAGTTCTTTTCCAAGTTCAGCTGTCTCTGGTTTTAACAGAAACATTCTAGCAGCAATGATACCCCAAAGACATAGCACAACATTTGGGAATTGGGAGGAGATAATCTTGTATTCAGTCTTATGGAACAGGGGTTCTTAAAATGGGAAATTTTAAGCTTATTCCTTCTTTGCATAGGACAGTTGGCTTCAGGGGAACTTGAAGTCATGGCCAACCTGCAAATGCTTTTACTTGCTTAACATCAGGTCAGTGGAGTGGCTTGGGACAATATTTACAACAGAATTCAACACAATTTTAACTTAATTATGTGAAAAGTCATGAAGAGCAAAAAAATCTTGAGTGATGTCTGTAAAAAACTTATTTACTGGCAGTGTTGGAGAAGTCCAAAGCTTGATTTTCAGTTTTATTTTTGTTCACATGAATCCAGGAGATAACTTCTCCTTGTAAACAAAGCCTACTGGATAGTGAAGTCTCTCAGATTTTATTAAATATACAGAATTTCTAAAAGATAAATAGCAGAATAGAGTCAACATATTGGTAAGAAAAATATAGGCCTTATTAGAATGAAACTATTTCAGTCCTTCCATAGCCAACAGTAATAATCCTGAGAGCATCAGATCACATAACCTCTTCACAGCAAAGGTCTGTACTGTCTGAGGGCTGGCTAAGGTTGGGATGCTTCCAAAGGCAACCTGTTTACTCAAAGGTAGATCTGATCATGGCTCATGTTTTTCCAAAAGGCAGCTTGCTTGCTTAAGCCCTTTAAAAAAAATCGTTTCCCTAGAGCTCATCTGCTGGGCTGTTTGGGCTGAGTATTTAGAGCAGTAGCAAAGTGCCAAGTCAAAAGCAAAGAATTTGTTTCTAAGAGATGGAAGGAAAAGACAAAGAGCAAAAGTTAGCACTGCAGATTATTGCAAGCTACAGAGAATACAAAACAATTGCTTTAGAGACAGCTAAAAATACCTTCTTGTAAGACTGCCTGCTCTTCTGCCAAAGGCATACAATACACTGAGAAACATTTGCAGAATCAAAATATTTATACGACAAAGTAGCAGTTTCTACTTTAAAAAGTTACAGCTGATTAAGTTGGAACTACATGTTCCATAACATGAACAAAAGAATATCAACCACAGTCATAAGTAAATATTGGCTTTGTAGCAAGCTTACCGTTAAAACAGAAAAAAATCCAGCAAATTTTTTTCTCTAGATCACAGTTACCTTGGTGTAACTACCAATACAGTTATAAGATAAATACAATTTTACTTATTTTACTTTCTAACCTTCTCTTTGCTATGTGATATGAGTTGTACTAGAAGGCACCCTGAAAAAAATAACAGAAGGGCTGTACAAAAAAAATGAAGTCACCTGGTCTCTCAGGAAGCTTTAAAAATGATTGTTCTATATATTCAAAAATCTTGTATCAACTTAAAATTAAATATCTCTTCATCTGTAGTCCCAGGGAACACAGAAAGTTAAAGGTTTGTAGCGATCAAACTTCAGAGAAACTTCAATGAAAAGTGTCAAGTTCAGTTCCTTTGTTAATTAAACGCATCAGAAAATCTTGCCTTTTTATGGGGAAAAAACAGACCAGTAATTTAAATCATGATCAGAGTGAAAAATCACTTTTGAAAACCCAAGTTTTTCTTGCCATATTTAGCAAATGTCAAAATGGCATTTACAGCAACACCAACAGTGCAGCTGCGAGGCTGCCAGTATCGCCTCCAACTGTGTAAAGCAAGTTTTTCTTCCTTATTTTTTGAAGTCTTTTCTTCACTTTTCCCCTTCCAAAGACACAAAACTTATCAAGAATTTAACATGTTATTATATTTGTATCACTGGAGAAACAACTTGTTCAGCAATCATTAATTGCCAGCATTTAGTTTTTATAAATTGCCTGCATTTATTTTTAATTGCTCTTTTGCTATAATCCAATAAAGAAAACAAAAAAATGACACAAGTGGGTGCCAACCATACTTGTTTGCCAAAAACAAACCTGTCTCTAAATAAGGCCCAAAACTGAGATTATTGTAGGCTTTCAGAAAAAACTAATCATCAACAAAACAGTTTGCAGTTTGTTAAATTACAGTAAGCAGTTCCCAGTACAGTACAGCAGCAAAAGTGGAAAAAGAACAATGTGCTGAAAGCATTTATATTGTCTGTGTTACTTGATTCATTAATTGCAATTTCAGTACTTCCCCCCAAATGTCTTCTTTCTTTGCATGCTGATGAAAAGGCAGAACAGAGCAAGACAAACTTGGCGCTACAAACTGCTTCTATCAACTGGTGAGGCTTGACTCTGCATGTGTGTTTCCCTTTCCTAGAAGGGAAAGTGAGGTACAATGAGCATTAAGGACTAAGAGATCAAATAATGTGACTCAGTTAATCTGCAACAGAAATTGCCTCCATTCTTCTCTTCAAGTTGAAATTATCAAAAAATATCTGCACTTGTCATCCTCTTCTCTCATATGTCTTTCTTACCCATCCATCCAACCTGTCCCTCAAGTCACTACAGAAGTACACACACACACATATATATATAAAGGTGGAACTAGCACATAATTTCTGACTAAATTATGTCTCAACCTTCAGCCTGCCTGTGCACTTTCAAGTACAGCAGGATGAGACATCTGTGTCGTCTCTGCAACCATGAACACACCAGAATACTGCACTCAGCTGACCTTGCAGCATGGTGTAACACATTACAAACATCATCTGATTTCTTAGGTTTTGTCACAGTACAGGAGAAATGGATAGAAGAGCCAGTGTCCATGAAATTGCACATAAATCAAGTGTCAGCATCATCACACATAGAAACACATCAGGACAAATTCATGTTCACCTCACTGTTCAGAAACTGGCTCCAAGATGAAGTACACTGAAGAGCAAACACATAAGGATACCCTGGTTTCTGCTGCCACTGCTGGCATTAACTACTTAAGTTCACTTTCTTGTAAGTCTTAAAAAAGTCTTGGTCCTTGATAGTGCCATAACTTTAAAATGCCTACTATGTACTGTCATACCATCGAGCCTGTAAGCTGGTAACTTTGTCTTGGTACATCTGGAGCTTTAAAGAAGCATAAAAACAATTAATATAGCACAAAGTGAGCCCTAAAACAAGTATTGTCACATTTAAAATTCAGAACATGTTCAGTGTATGTTACTAGAAATTGTAAACACTTCTATTGAAGTGAACTAATAGCATCAGCATTAAGCACTAGAGCAAAATGCTTTATCACCTAGAACAGCAGGTTTCCACATTCATGCTGTTTACTAACAAGGCCTTTAAAGAGCTGGTTGTGTTCCTCTTGTAACAGGCAAATCAATGCCAAAGCAATCATGGCCTCCTGCCCTGGTAAAACACTAGACCGTGTCACACTACAGTTCTCCCCAGACCTCCTCACAACTGAAGAGCTGCAACCAAAAGCTGAAAACTGAAGCTCAAAAAAAATTATCTCTTTTAAGCCTCCTGGGAATTTGCATGAATTTCCCAGAAACTGGAAGATAATCCTAATCTACTCTTGTAAAATCAAGACACCGACTGGCAAAAATGGAGTTAAGAGTAGCAAACATCATAACTAGCAATTGGCTAATGCATGGAACTGGAAAGCACAACAGAGGTGATGCATGTGTTCCTGTACTTAAATTCCACAGTGGTTTTGTGCCTTGTTTTTCAGTAAAAAAGCCAGGCAGATATTGCTTCTATCCCACTTATTCTATTACTACTTCAAAAGCTCCTGCCTTTCAAACTGCTGGTGCACATATGCAGACAAACACCATCTGACTTAGCAGAGCAGACTGTGTAGTAAAGAAAAAGAGATACACATTTTCAAAACAGGGTTTTATTGAAACTTATCAAAAGCGTCTGAAATCTTATGCAGGAAACCTTCAGACCTTAGTCCTTTTCTTTTTTGCTTTGGGTTTTTCTGACAGCTGAGATAATTCACTTTCTTCAACTTCATCACAGTGCTTTCTTTTCTTTTTCTTTGACTTTTTATGGCCACTTTGATAACCACTGGAGTCACTGGTAGGCAATACAAGTTCCTGTTCTCCTTGCTTGTCCTTGTCCTTTTTCTTTTTCTTCTTCTTTTTATCATCACATAATCCATTCAAAGCATTAACACTTGTCTCTTCTTCATTTTCCCTCCCAAGGTCACCTGTGTCTTTTAAAGGCTCTTCTGTGACATTATCTTCCCCACAGTTATCCAGGCCATTTTCCTGGTGGTCAAGCTTTTGAATTTCAAGCCCATTTGTACCTTCGGTGACTGCAGCAGATCTTTTGGGCCGCATGCTGTAAAGAAACATACAACATCGACTGGATTAGAGACGTGTTAGAGCACCTCACATAGTGAAATGTCAAAATTTGCTAAAACGTACTTACACCAAGCAGATGAAAGATAAACATTTGCTAAGAACAACAACAAATGGAGAACATGATACTCTGGGTCACAGAGAATCAAAGTTTAATACTCTCAGGGTAATTTCCATTCTTACCACATAATAAATATTCTCTTCCAAATCTTAGGCTAAATTTCTTCTCTATAGTGTCATATAGATCATTTAGTAGTTCCTCTTTTCTTGTGCTTCTTCATCCCCTAATTCATAAGTACACATTGTGTTGTAAAGCTTTTTTGGTTTTTTTTAAGTCATTCACAAAAACACACAGCTAGTGGCCTATTCAGTCCTATACGAGGCACATTGCTGATTTTACCAAGCAATTACCCTACTCTAATTCAAACAAAAATGATGCCCAAAAAATAATAATAAAAAAAAACAACAAGAAAAAAACCTCCACCAAAAAACACTAAATTGCTCCCCCACCTCAACAGGTAGCTTGCAACCAAGAGCACTGGAAAAAAAAAAAACTCTAAGACAAATATGGAAAGAATGCAGTTAAAAACCATAGAGGTTCTTATGTCCCCAGAGGCACTGAAGACAAAATTGCTAAGTTTCATTGTAACTTCACTGAAACGACACAGAGCATCCTTTGAGATTAAAAGAAGAAAAAAACAAAAAATGCTATGAATTTGCCAGTAGGAGTTATATTATACATTAATCAAAACCAAAACCATATTGAAAGAAAAGCATTGCTCAGTAAATGACTGTTTTTCTTTTAAAACATGAATGAACTCTTCTGAAGACAAGATTTCTTTCAAGGTGCCCCATAAATTTATAGAGGCCTAAGGAGGAAGCAGACACATTTTCTTCTCTTTGAAATTCTCATGTTTCAGCAAGTCATATAATTTGTCATTATACAATGCACATGCATGTGTTTGTGTGCAACTGTCAACGTAACCACTGTGTTCAGGACCCCTGGACTGTTTGCACTTGGAAAGCCTATGCACAAAGCTACTTTTGGACACCTGGATGCGTTATTTTGAGCATGTATTATATATGTAATTGACAATTAATAGGTCAACACACTCGGACTTTTAAAGCTCAAGAAACACCTAGTTTTACTTTTTCCAGAGAAAACTTCCATGGGAGTCCTAAAGAGCAGAAAGTTTAGTTTACGACAAAATATATATATATATAGTTATATATACAGTTATATACAGATTTGTGTAAAAAACAAGAAAGCTGAAAGATTACAATCTAAGTGATTTTAATTGCATCTTAAAAAATGTATTGAATCAGTTTAAAAAATTCTCTATTGAGGCACTGTACCTGCTTTTAGTGAGTCCTCCTCGAATGAAGAACACCCCAGCTGTATCAGAATCCAAGTGCAACACTTGAAATTTCAGTTCATCCCCTATTTTTAACCCCAGCTCTTGCCACTGTACAATGGACATTTGTTCAGGCTTTGGGATAGATGCATTGAAGCATCCATGTATCAGACAGCCAATGTGACTAGGGGCCACTTTATTAATTATGCCCTAAAAAAAGAAAAAAATAATGTCATGCAAGTCTATAGCAAAAATCAGCCCCTTCAATGCAAACCCTTTAAATATTTACCTTCCCATATGGAAAATTTTCAGTAAGAGTTTCAGTACAAGTTATGAAGCCAGTTTATCTAGCAATAAGTTAATGCTCCTTCATTAAAATCAAAGTTAGCTCTGTAAGCTCTTCATACAATTCCTCTGAAAACAGAACTGAACTGCAGGAGAGGAAGTCAAAACATAGGATTTAACTATAGTGAATACCTGAATAGAGTAGGTAACTCTTTTCCTTACACTACAGTGATCAACTTTGCTTTGAAGCCATTTTAAGTCTGATTTACTTGCCTAAAATGCTCTTCAAGCTGGCACAGAAGTACTTAGCAGCTGAAGATAGGGAAGACACATAAAAAGCTTCTAAATACTCAATTCAGTGGGTTTCTGACACATCTGCATATGAAACCATATCCACCTTTGTTTTACCCATAGAATTAATGACAGACATCAAAAATTTTTCCATTATCCTCCTAAGAAGATGGCACATTCATCTTAAAACACAATTATAAAGACACCATCTGTGCTGCAAAAGGTATGGCACAACAATGAATGCAAGCCAACTCTTAACACGCTTTACCCACAAGTGCTGAGCAAGGGTTTCGACAAGCTTAAAGCTGCTCTGTGAGCACACACCTCCTTTAGTGAAAGGCAGGCTAGCTCAGCGTACTGGTCCTGTGCTTGGAGGAACCAAACTGGAGAGCATCCTAAACATTCCTATCACTATAACAAATGCACCTGTTTGAGAATTATCTGCTCTTCAGAATGGAGCACCGGTATGATATACACACTTATGATACACTATTAAACATGCAATGCTTATGACACAACGGTTTAGCAATATATAATTATACGTAAATTCAACAAACCTAGAGACGTGCAAAACAGACAAACAACAATAAAAATTGTAGAACGACCTAGTAATAAACTGCTATGAACTACTCATAAGTGGATAAGCTAACATAAACTAAAATATGTCTCCACGTAAGAGCCAGAGCACTCGATGAAGATAAGGCAAGTATAAAAAAACCCCATGCCGTAAGCATACCACCAGCTTCTTCCCTTTCTTGGGGCTGAAGATGATGAAGTCCGCCTCGACGTCCAGGTGGATGAATCCTTGGTCGTCGTAGATGTCGCCGAGCTCCCCCACCACTTTGATGTTGTCGTAAGCCACGGGCACACCCTGCAGGCTGCAAGGACAATGAGGAGGGGTCACCGTTAGCCGAGCCGGGCCGAGCCGGGCCGGGCCGAGCCGGGCCAGCCCCGCCGCCCCGCGGCCGCACCTCTCGGAGTAGCGCAGGAGCTCCGCGTCCAGCTGCGCGCGGATGCCGGAGCGCTTGCGGCCCAGGAAGCGCGGGGGCAGCGCCACGTGCCGCCGGCGCGGCCCCGCCACCAGGCACGAGTGGCGGCGCGCCAGCAGCGCGCGGGCCGCGCCGAACGACGGGGCGGCGGCGGCGGCGGGCGGCGGCGCCGGGGCGGCGGGCGGCTCCCGCGGCACGGCCATGCGCCACGGGCCCGCCGCGCCGCCTGATGCCGTCAGCCGCCTCCCCTCCGCCGGGCGCGCCCGGCCGCGGCAGTGACGGAGTTCCGGGGGATGTGCTCGCCCTCGGAGGGGCGTTCCGTGCCGCAGGGCGCCGGCGTGTTTAACTCTTCCCAGCCCGCCTCGCGTCTCGGCGTCACGGACCGCTGTGAGCCGGAAGGAGCAGCGGGTCCGCCTCTCACGAGGGGATCGCACCCGCGGCGCCCCGGGAGCCCCGCGCTCCTCGGGGCGGGAGACGCGTCGCGGTGGCCTTGTGAATTTAAATTGGGCGTTTGGCCATCCAGGCAAGAGACACGGTGGCGAATCGCCTTATTCTTCATATACAGCAGTTTTAAAATACAGAATTTGTAGTCTGTTGCCCCACCCCAGATCCAGTTTGCGCATATAGTGAGAAATGTTTAAATGCATTTAGTAACCGCCGACTGAGGACAACAAAATAAAGTAAAAGTACTCAAAAGGGTTGCTCGTGCACTCTACACTGCAATTACGTACAAAGTACTAGAACCTTGTCCAGGAACCTTATAGAAACCTTGTCCAGTTACGAATGATGGAATTTGTGGCTGGTTAGTGAAGACTTTGTCCAGAAAAGTAATTCAGACTTTATATCCATGCAAAGCGGCGCAGTAGGATTTTACTTTAAGCTGATTCAACTGAACTCGTGCAAAAGGTTGAAAAGGTGTCCTCTCACTGATTTAATGTATATTAACTTGTTACAGTAAATGTACACTTTCAAACTGATTGAACCCACATGGGGAGTTACCAAAAAAAAAGAAAAATTGTCGGTTTCATTAAAGGTCTTAAAATTCCTTTTATACTGTGGAGGGCTCAGAAACACTTGTTTTGTGAAAACAAGCCTTACGTCAGATACCAGAAATCCTCAAGCTCCCTATAAAACATTTAGTGATGCAAAAACCTTTGAAACTACTCAAACACTACATCACCAGAAAGTTTTCTTTGACTGAACATACTGTGAAGACAGGACATTGTTAGCTTTCACAAGTAAAACAAATGGTATAATTTGCAGTACTTTACTGCAAGTAAAGTTGGATTAGTGTGAAAGACCTGACATAAAAATGGCTTTCAGATGTCATACCAAACTCCAAAATCGAAAGAGAAAATCTCTTGAACTACTTTAATCTGTATTCTTATGTGGCTTTAGTCCTCCAAGGTATTTAATGTCTGTTGAAATTAATTTCATGTTATATGGTCTCAGCTTTCTGGAAAAAATATTATATTTTTTATTTCAACTATTTGGATCATATTTAAACTTTGCAATGTGCTTTCAATCTTGGTTAAAGACCTTAAACAATAACTGCATGCACTTCTATTCCTAAAAGAAATATATTTTTTATAACTCTTATTTATGAGTGGATTAGTTTGCAGTGAGAACATATAATACACTAAGAGCTCTACTCAGTTTTATACAGGATAATAAAAACCTACCTTTGCTCTTAAAATAAAAACTAATAATAAGATGGAAAAACAGCATGAACAAAAATGTGGACCTTTGTCTTTCACCCCATAGTCAGGCTGGCCAAGATGGTGTCAGAAGGGCTCTGTCTCTCAGGGCCTGTGGCTATCCAAGGTTATCCCCATGAACTTCTGTCACCAGAAAATTCCCTACAAGATTGAGTCTGTTCTTTCTAATTGAATCTCCATTTCTCCTTGCTACCGTGCCTGGTTTTCATTGCACAGCGCTCTCGGGGCTTCCAGATTTCCTTTCAGGCTAAAGCAATCAGGAGAATGAACTTTGAACACTAATGGTCATTAAGTCTGTGTGGTAGGGCAGAGTTAATTCAAAATAGCCTGTTTGAAATCCTTTAACTGTAAATAGCTGGCCTCAGCACCAGCTGTTTTTCTCTGCAAGTCCACACCTGTCAGGTGCCACTGCTTGCTGATGCAGCACAGTCTGTCTGTACCAAAAGCAGTGTTGTGTTGCAGGCTTGTAGAGATTTCAGACTCATGGTATGACTTGAACTCACTACCTCTCTGTAAAAGATACTCTGATAAAAGAAGGAATCTCAATCCAAATGCCACCTCCTCCAGCCAGAGATCAGTTCTTAAAACCATCTGGACCATAAGACTTAAATGCTGATATCCCCACAATCATTTCTTGGCTTCTTTCTCTTCCCTGGTTGTATAACTTTTCTTGATGTTAGCTTTCAGCTTAAGGAGTCTGTCTCGACTGACCTTTCAGCAGCACTCCAGTGAGCCTGTGTCCAAAAAGGCAGCTAAAATCAATGTCTAAACCAGCACAGCTGTTGGTATGTTTGCCAAGTCCCACAGTGGCTGATAAGGCAGTGCTGAGCCTGATTTTCTCTAGAGGTCAGGTTGCAAGTAACAATGGGGACCAAACCCAAAAGCTGCATTTGCAGTCACTGCTGTTCTTTTTCTTCCTGTTTTATTTGGGTTAGTCTTGTTTTCTCTGTGAAAGGATGGCCAGATTCCAAAAAGGAGATTCCTTGAAAACCACAAATTCAGCACCTCTCAACTGGTCTTCTCTATCCATACAGTCATTGCCATCTTGTATTCAGATTTCTGAATTGACAATGTATGTTGGGTAGAACGTACATCCAGTTGCTTATTGATGCTCTGTTGTGGCAGGTGCGACTCATTCATTCAGAGAGTGGCCCTCATCCAGCCTTAAAATCCTGAAAGTCTTCCAGAGTGTAAGAAAACTGATGGCGTTTTTTCAGGCATATTTCCTACTCCTGCTGGAGTAGGAAATACACTCCCCCTTAGGACTGCGTGCCCGTAGGAATTTGTGCGTTTTGAAATTTATTCCATCACATCCTTATCCCACAGCTTGCGCTCTATAAAAAGGATAAATGAAGAAATGCCTCAGCTGCATTGGTTAGATACGGTACAAAAATTGTGCTCTGGATTTTTTTCAAATGTTTTAGCTGGCTTCTCCTTTTTAATTTTTAACCCTACAGTATTTTTAATGACAGTTCTTGCTGTCATACTTAGAAGGAAGAATGAGTACTCAAAACTCTCAGTTTTGTTTTTGAAGTTGTATGGTAATAGGTTTGCTTCAATATCTTTGACCTCATGACAAATGGAGACTAATGCTAGCATTTTTAGTCATTGAGAATGAAATATCTAAATGCCATTGAGGATTGTCAGCTTGTGGTTCTGTATATGGAATTCTGTTAGGAATTCTGTTTCGTGGAAATTATTTTTGAAAGGGTGACCATTCAGTTACGTATAAAATCTATCAGTGCAAAGGGTTACCTAAAGTTAACAACAGTTACAGTAATAAAGGCTCATTTGACTGCAAATGTGAGAGGAATTAGGTCGTTACTGTCAGGCACACATTAATTTGAGCAAATACAGGATGATAAGATGAAACTGTCAATGGCCAAAGAAGGTAGATTCTCCTGACAGTGCATCCGGACTCTCTTTAATTTGTATTTAAACAAAATGTACCAAATGCTGAAAGTCCACCAGATGGCACACAAAAGCCTTGGTATGGGTAAGTGCTGTCATCCAAGAAAACGAGAGGAACTGCACGCCTGGCTGAAAATTTAATCTGTGTTACACTATGCAGACTCTACTTTGTTTTGTCAGCAATTAGTAGGTCAATCCCTAATAGCTAGGAAATGACTTTGAAAAACATTAAGGGAAAGAAATGTGATAAGACAGCAATTATGTTAATTTCTTTCAGCTAATAATTTGTCTTGATTTGTAGTGACATTCATGATGTAAGGACAGGGAGCGGTTGGAGTGAGTCCCGGGGAGGGTCACGAAGATGATCAGAGGGCTGGAGCACCTCTCTGTGAAGACAGACTGAGAGAGTTGGGGTTGTTCAGGCTGTAGAGGAGAAGACTCCAGGGAGATCTTACAGCACCTTCCAGTACCTAAAGGAGACCTATAAAAGAGCTGAAGAGGGATTTTTACAAGGGCGTGGAGTGGTGGGGCAAAGGAGGATTGGCTTCAATCTGAAAAGGAGTGAGTTTAGATTGGATATCAGGAAGAAGTTCTTCTTTGTTAGGGTGATGAGGCGCTGAAACCTGGTGCCCATGAAAGTTGTGAATGTCTCTTCGCTGGAAGTGTTCAAAGGCAGATTGGATGGGACTTTGAGCCAATGGAAGGAATCCCTCGCTGCAGCAGGAGGAGTTGGCACTAGACAATGTTTCAGGTCTCTTCCATCCAAGCAATTCTGTGATTCTGTTCTTGGGATGGACATCTTTGAACAGTTGGGGATTGGCTAGATTTGCCTTTGGTCTAAAAGTAGATTATTGCCTGCTGGGAAATGGCTGATATAGCTGGCAATCACTCTTGTGGAGATAAAATATATTGTCTATAAATATATTATTGAAATATTATATATTAAATAATATTATACAAATATATACAATATAAATATAATATTTAGTGAAATAAATATATTACTGAAAGATCTGTGTTCAAGTAGCTTGCTGGCCTTATATCTGTAAAAATGAGGAGCCTGATTTAGGATGCCTGGTGCTGACTGTGGTGCCCCTCTCCAGCTCCACTGGTACTTGAAGGCATGGTTTCAATAGCAGAGACATCATGAGCTGTGGAGGTCTGGCTGTTTGTTGGTCTAATGCTGAAACTCTCCTGTGTTGTTTCCAGCCAGTGAGTGAAATGTGTACAGGTAGTGGATTAAATAGTATGACAACGTGACCTTTCTCACAGAAACAAGAGGTGATGTTGCCACAGAAACAAGGGAGGAAAGCAGCCTGTGCCACTGTGAGAGCAGTAAGGCTTTTCTGCAGCACTGTGAATGGTTCTGATGAATGATGCTAACAAATGAGATGGATGCACAGGTTGTAAATGGGGTGAATGAAGTGTCTCTTGACAATCTGTCTGTGCTATTTTGCAGTTTATATTCTGAGAAACTTCTAGCTACCTTTTACTCTGGTGTTTCTAAAATTGTAAGGAAAGATGGGAATTAATAAGATTGCCTGCCTCCAGAAAAGTCAGCTGCTATTCATTTTAAGAGTAGAAAATGTCTTTTTGTCATCCTGTTTTATGACTCCTATACTTCTTCCAGATACTGTAAAAGACAAAATAATCTTCTGGTTCTACTAATAGTAGCTTGCTCTGTCTTTTCAGTGCTCCTCATAACCTGAGCCCTGTTACAAAAAGAGTTGTGAAGACATTTAGAAATGAAATTAAGAATATTGAGGTATGTATACTTTAATCCTTTCCTGCATAGTGCTATTCCTATTTTTTTAAATGGAAAACTGTTAATCCTTCTGGCCTGGAAAACAGGTCCCAGATCTGAGGAGTTTGCCTTTCAAGAGAGGTCCAAAGTAACCATCAGTTTGAAAGAAA